TCAAAACCCAAACCCCCACCCCCCAAAACACAAAAGAAAAAAATGTTTTAAAATTTTTGAAAAAAAAAAAAAAAAAAAAAAAAAAACATGATGGATATATCCTCTCTAAAAATAATGCATACAGATCAAAGAAATTCCATACAAATACATTAAAGTGCAGAAGAGCGAGGTATCAATAACCTCCTCCAATCCATTCACTGCACCACTAGGTTTAGTGTCAGAAGCTACTAAGAGCTATTCAGAGAGAAGGAGGTGATGTCATACAGCCCAAACACCCACACGAGCACGCACGCACACACACACACACACACACACTTAAACATCTGCACTGACCTAGATCCAATAAAGGAACGATGCCTACTGTTATTACTGTTAATCTTTGACACATAAAGGCTCTTCAGAGATAAGAATTAAAGAAGAGAGGTTAAGATGAAGATAACATACACATTCACTGTGCCTTATACATGCAATTATAAGAATAAAGCTTAACATAATGTAACACAACGATGGAAGATGATTACTGTATATTCGGTAAATATTATAAGGCTTTCAATAAGATGTAACCTAAAAGGTAGAAACTTGAAATTTTGCCTTTTCCAATTAGATTGCATAATGATACATTAAAATGCAATTTAAGTTACATTTAACTTTGTTTAGTTGGATGCCAAGAAGATATTCAGCATGATGAATGTAGTCTCATAAGGAATAGATGCTCATACCTGACAGATTACAATGACAAAGAAACTATTGTCATCGACTGCTGAAGGCACACAGGAAAACGAGGAAAGGTGAAAATTTTGAAATCGCAACTAATATAATTATTACAATTTACCTATAGTACCAGCATTGCATTACATGATTTTCTGATATTGTGCAGCTAACGTGGGCAGTTCCTCTGACACTGTGTATCTGAGTGAAACTAGCACTGCAAAAACACACAACAGCACCCTCTATCAAAACAAGTTCTACAATTTGTTCAATCTAACCACAAGCTAACAAGACCACACACAACGTATTCCGTCCAACATGTGAGTATTTATTACACAAAGATGAAGAAAAACCTCAAATCCTCAGATATTGACAAAATATGTCAAATCCGTCATGTTCATGGGAGGCATGCTTTCTTCTAACGACGACTCTACACACTGCATTTGAGATGTAGCCTGAAAAACGCTTTACTTAAGTTCAAGGGAGTTGATTCACAATGTTTGCCCTTCGTCTCTGTGCCCCAGGATCATAGCAAGTGTAGAGAATGACACTTAAATAGAAAGGTCCCAAAAATATCTTAAATAATGGCATTCAATTAAACTAAACTGAATTTGGGAAATTTTCTTTGGTGGAAACTTGGTGCTAGATGAACTTTGATATGAGAAGCAGTTTCCTTAATTGTCAAGAGAATTTTAGCATGATCCTCTGACACCAACTGATTGTCTACTGGAAGATAATTCATACTTGGAAGTAATTCACATACTTCTTAAAAGTAAAGTTATGAAGCAATGCTTTCATTTGTCGTTTTTCTTTTTCTAAGCAAAGAGGGAAATTAACAGCTATTTATTCTGAGCACTGACTGTGGGGTTTAAGTTTGGTATGTGAGACTCAACATAAATTGGTACTTCCCTCCAGATCTTGATTGGCACTATTATTTCTCCAAATAGCAGATCAACAAAATACTCTTTGAGAGGCTCAACACATTTCAAACGTTTATGGTTTGGAAGGAGGGTATCTTTACAGTATTAGCAGTAATACATGTTTTGGTTCAGTCTGAGACAACGAGGTGGTCTCTCATTACTGCACAACAGTAGACTGCCTTGGCAACAGCACCATTTAAACAACCCCAACCCTATGGTAGCCACCAGCAAGTAGGGAGGCAAAGCCACATTCGTAAACACACGAGTACACAGTTGGAAAAATGAAACAGAGAAGAAGAAAAACCCCCACTATACTGTTAAACATGAAGAATAAATAAGTAATGATGAAAAGAAGCACCAACAGCACTGCTGAGAGTTTTGTGGTGCTTTGTGTCTCCATATTGGTACAAATACCAAGCACACTGTGGATTCCCGTCCAAAGCACATGACAGCTAAATTGAGTTTGGGTTCCTCTCAAGGTGACAATATCAATCTTTTTCCACAAGCATGCTCTGAATTTGATTTGTGGCCTTGAATGTATCAGATGTTTAATGTAATGGTGAGAGATATCAACAGTGATATGGACAGTGAATGACAGGCAATACACACACAAACACAGACCCACGAACACAGAAGCCTTTTATCAGATGGAACATCTCCTTGCTAGCTTAGACAGCATTACCTCTAATAGACATTCAGCCTGTGCCTTCTCAGCATCACGGGTAATTAACAGTGTGAGAATTACAGGGCTCTGAGTGTGAGGAGGAGACACACTCAAGACTACCAACAGACAACGCACAAATGTAGTTTAGTTGCCTTGTTGGCAGCAAGTTGCTGCTCTGTCTGAGCAAACAGCCTTATATGCCCTTGGTGCCTTCAGAGCTGCTCAGATTTATGATTCAGTAACAGAAATTACTTATCAGTGGCATCCTTGGAGGAGTATTCATACCAGCTTGAAATTCTCCAAATATTGTTAAGTTGCATCTATTAACTTAAGTTATTATGTTGAGATAATTTCCCAATTTTTACATTCAAAATGTCTAAATATTGTGATATGTGTTGCTATTAATCCCCTTTTTGCTCTGATCCCTCTAAATAAAAATCTATAGCAACCCACTGCCTTCACAAGTAGCCTAGCTGTTAAAAACAGTCGACTTGTGTGCATAAATACATCTGTTCTGTGAAGGGAACATTTCTGAACAAATAACAGCAACCATTTGGAAGAGGGTGCTCTGGTTAGAGTAGACCAACATTAAACCTTTTGTCTTACATGCAAAGCGATGTAGCACAAAACTAACACTTCACATACAGGTGAGCACATAATCTCCACCGTAACAGATAGCAAGAGCAGCTATATGCTTTAGGGATTATTTTCTTCAGCAGAAGTGAAATAACTGGTCAGAGTTGATGGAAAGATGGATAGAGCTAAGGAGTGAGCAAAAGATTTGACACTGTGGTGGAGGTTCACATTCTTGCAGGGCAACTACTGTAAAGAGTGAACAACAGCTACAATGTAAGGGTTTAAATCAAAGCATATTCATGCATCGGAATGGCCCAGGCAAAATCCAGACTTATAAAATGATGTACACAGATACTACACACCTTGATAGAGCTTTAGCAATTTTGCATAGAAGAATGATTGACCTGTTAAAAACTCGTTACTTGTTCTGAGCTACTGAGAAATGACTGCTTGATTGAGGTGACTGTTGGAAGTTTTAAACAAGTGAATTTGATTTTACCCAATCGCGAACATTTGGCTGTGATGCATGTAAAGCACCAGCTCAGCCGTGAAGGACCATGGCCAACAAGGACTGGATGGGTTTGTTCATTTCCTCCAGTGCTATTGCCAAACTGCAACCATCGCAGGCGACAATTCAAAACAGCACAGAAAATCATCGGCATAATTCACATAATTCAACCTGGTCAGTCCACTGAGAAACTGAGCTCAATTGAAGAAATTCCAGACAGAGCATTGTAGGGAAATACAAATGAGTTGCATGAAAAGGCAATGACTATGACAGAATGGGCAAACATTCCAGTTTTTAGTGTAATGTGTACCAAAACATGGCATGTAAGGGAGCAGGACATTTGGTAAAGTGGATGACACTTCGTTCAGAGGAGAAACAAACTGCAGCTCTGAAGTAGTCAGTGAGGTTCTTGGTTTGTATAGATTGTCAACTGTTTTTAATGCTTCTAATGTAAAGTAAGAATATCGTTTCTAACCCCAGTTTTCTTAGTACATTAAAAAGCGAAGAGAAGAAAATTATTCTCTTTGGTCCAACTAACAGCGCGCCAAACTACAAAACATTCACCCAACAAAGAGACACAAAAGTAATAAAAAAAGGGATAACTGTTTTTTTTTTTTTAATCCATATTTCAGGCCTTTGTCTCATTCCTTCTTAATGCTAATTGTAGTTCCACGCTATTTTGTATACCCTGAAGGCAAACAAGACATTTTAATCCTTTAGATATCTGTAACAGGGCCTGCTTACATGCTACTTAAAAATTATGTTTGTAAGAAAGTGATAACTTCTAATCGTAAAGAGAATAAGAAGAGAACAGTATAAAAGATAGGTGGTATTTTCAGTGAGAGACTACAGAGAAAATCAGATGAGAATGACAAACTGTGGTAGTGGTATGGGACGGAGAGTGATGAGAGCTTAAGTCAGGAATATAAGAGGGAGAGCAGCAGAACAAACTACCAATTTAAAAGAGCGGATCAGTTCTGGCAGAGTAATCAAATCAGAAAGTCAGCAGACCTATCCTCAGCCCTGCCTTTCATTTTCTCCACTCTATTTCCATCCTTTCTCTCCATTCCTTAGCATTCATCTTACATTTGTTTTTCCAGAGAAATTATTTGATTTTTTTTAAGCCTTCCCACAGAAATCAGGTAACAGCCAGTCGACAGCGAGCCAAAGAACAGAACATACTTCAGTCTTTTCAGTCAGCAAGTAAGAAGAGAAAATGGAAGTGATTAGCAATCAACAAAAGACACAAATTTAACCTCAGGAAACGGAAGAAATGCAGGAACAGGACAGATGATAACTGAAGAATAACTCTCAAAGGATCGAATCTGTGTTGCAGTGTCCATCTTCTGCCAAGAACAGAGAGATCAGATGAGCAGGAGGAAAGTGCAGTGTCACCTACTGCTCACCAAATTTCCCTTAGTCAGCAATAGTCAAACCCCTTAAGACATCGAGAACTGCATCTCTATTGTGTTAAAATAAATGAGCATCTGTAAAACAGTAAAAAAGAAAAGGAACTCACCTGTACAAGGAGCTCCAGTTTCCTGTCGTCCAGTAAATGGACCTGACACCGCCTTCCCTCTGTCATCTGGGAAAGATAAAAAAAAAAAAAAAAAACACAAGTTTGCTTTTACTTTTGTTGCTTATAAACTATTTACTCATTTCAAAATTATATACTTTTCAAGACATTTAAGCGATCCAGACATTCAAGCACAAAATACTGATATCTTAAGTTAGCTCAGAAAATAACAGTGTGATAATTGGGATACTTTCCTTTTCTGGAGTCATCGGATTTGAGTTAGTTTCTAGAAACTAAATCAGTGAGAAAAATGTGCTGTATGGTACTTAATGGAGCAAAGAGATTTTCATATCAAGGCATATGTCCCACAACCTATCTGATTCTTATAACAGTCACAAAAGTGCATCAAAGTAAGTACTGTGGACTGATGAAATTACATACACATTACATTGTACGATTAAACTGTGATTCCAGCAAATCACTGGAATTAAAATGTGTAACATGACAAAAGAGATTTTGTCATGTCGCTGAATTAAAAATGTATTTTAGATCTACTTGTCCACATACTTCAGTGTATTAAACATCAACAGTCTCAACACCAAGCAGAACAACATGTTGCAACCTGGGGCACAAACTGAAAATGTTGTGTCCCAGTGAAGTTTTAACAAGGTTATCTGAACTACACACAATAAGCTAACAGAGACAGTATCCTACTCTCTGTCCTTCTCGCACATTTTTAACATTCCTCCGCGAGCAGGAAATCCATTACCCATCAGTACACTAGCAACCACAGTTAAAAAACTGTAGAGTTAAAGTATGTGATGCTGACAAAGCTCACAGGAGTGTTTGTCTGTGTTGCTGACATCAGGTTTGCTGAACTGCAGAGACAAAAATATATCTACTGTATATCTATGTGTGCCAAGTTCAAATGTAAACAGTGACACAGGTTGCAAAGAAGACACCACCGATTGTGGTAAACAACAATTTCCAGCAAATATCTTCAGCAGATAAAGCAAACTGCACAAAGCTGCTAGAAAGTTTTGCATTGTACACTGAAAGCCAAAGACTAAAACAAAAACAAAAAAATAATCTGTCCAGAATTTAAAATCAGCAACCACAGTTCAAATGAACCAACTCTCAAAGAAGTGTGAAGTGCATGCTGCTGCCTATGCGTATCTGTATCCTGCTGCTTCCAGCACATGTGGAGTTTCTCCACGATGTAACAGGAAGCGGGCACCCCAAGGACCACAAACAGCGTCCAGTTACTCCCACATTTCCTTCACATCTGGAAGATGGGGATGCAGTGGGGTGGAGGACAGTGCATGAGGAAAAAGTAAAAAAAAAAAACAACAACAACAAAGCTCAAGTAATTGATGAGAAGACCTTTCAAAACACAGATCAACACGACAAAAACACAAGTACAACTGCTTTGTAACTCCTCCCCAGGAGGGCACCTGGGGCATATATGTAATTTAGTAAGGGTGTGTCAAAAACACCACTACTGTAAGAGTTAAACCAAACTACATTTCTACTTTCTCACAGTTCATCTCTGCTTGCGTAATAGTGTCAGGCCTGGGAGTGAGATTTAGCAAAGAGACGACGGGGAAAAAAGTAGCGAGAGAAGTGCCATTTAGATGTCTTATTTCTCAGCCCAGTGTGAGCTGTCCTGAATGCTCTGAGCAAATGTCCACTGGGTCTACCTCCCCCTCACACACACACTGCTCCCATGTGGTTTGATGGCTTAGATTGGGTGCACCTGTGCACACAGTCAGTGACATGTACACCATTTTTGTTTTTACATTTTTGAACCTTGCTTCACTCTAATCTACCTGCAATGAAGGGCAATTCTGTTGGCGAAGCAGAAGTCATAATCAAATTAAAAAAGCATACAAAATCAGACTGAATATGAGTAGTTACTTGAAAAACGACTGAAAAGTGTAGTGTGTTAAACTGCAATGCAGACACACACACACACACACACACACACACACACACACACTGGCAATCAGCTCCAAGGACCTGGGAAAAGTGCAAACCTTAATGTCAAGGTAACAATTCTCTGCCCTGAGGCTTAAATTAGGGAGTCCAATCTACCAGAAACAGCCCCCCTACTGGTTTTACTTTAATAAAATGTCTTGTGGTATTGGACACATGGTCCTAATCTACTATCCACCACCAAACCAAATGCATTGAAGTCTTTATTAATACTCTGCTGTTACTAAACTACATTAGGCATATTTCTAATTATTGATCCCACAAAGCTATAAAAGATTACATTATTAGATTGACTTTTTAAAAAAAATTTTAGATTAACTGAACACTGATTATAGCATCTTAACTTTACTCACATCAAAATGTGCTGTGAATCCTGGTCGAAAACACATTGCAATGTCACTGTTGGGATTGTGACAAGCATGTAGAAGCTACATCACCTCATCCTGGTTCGTGGTACATTTCTCAGCCATTACTTGACAGAAATTAGTAAACACTCACCCTCAAAAGCAACATTTGACAACAAGAGCATAGACATGAAATACCGTTTAACGTACACATGTTCGAAGTGTTTCATAATTTCCCTGAAGCTGACACCAAAATAGCAGCTACACACGGACAGTAAACTGGGGATGCTGCTCGGAGACTATCTGCGACAGAAAGGAACGTTATTACCACATTACCTTGCTAATAAAAGCTTCCTGCGAGGTTCCAACAGAAACACTTGTACCAAAACAGACAGGGAAAAACCTGGAGTATTAATCCCAGAAAGAGACGAGTCGAGTTCCAGCCACAAAATCATCGAAAAACATCCGTTTTCCTGGCCGGCCTAGAGGAGGAGACACATCAGCATCCATGTTTGAGCCCATTAGTTAACGTTAGTTACAAGCTGGCTGTGTCCTATAGCAGTGCTGCCTCATGTATTCTTCCCCATTCCAACTTAAAAATATTTTAACTAGGCGCTAATTAAGCGCGGCAGAGGAGGCTGGCTTCTCTCTCATCCCTCCTTCGGAAAACAGAGCCTCACGCTGCTAGTTCCCTCCACCTCCTCCGGTCAGGCAGCCCCCGCTATACCGGCGGCGGCACCGCGCACCGGAGAACCGGGAGACCGTACCAACGGTCAAAGAGCTGCAGGGGCGCAGGGAAGGGGGAGCGTGGCTAGGAAAAAAAAAAAAAATGCGAGCGGTTGTCAGCGATGCTTCTGGTTGTCACCGGAGGTTGCTCCAAAAACACGGGAATAATGGAGGCAAGATGTGGGGGCGGGGAGAGGAGGAGATGAGGGGGAATTTTCTGCAGCGGCTCTCAGCCATGAGAAACTGCAGACCTTTCTGTGGAGTGTGTGCGTGTGTGTGTGTGTGTGTAGAGGTGTGTGCTCACACACCCAGACATCTGAGTCTGCAGAGGACCAAGTCTGTCTTTTACATGACTAAAATAACAACGAGCTTTAATTCCATAGTTTTTAGTATTGGAAAAAAAAAGAAAGAAAGAAAGAAAAATGTAGCCTCCTAAACTACACTGAATTTCATTTGTATTTTTGAAAGATATTGATTAAAAAGGACATCGGTAGTTGCCCGCAGTGAAGTTAGTTTCAAAAGTAACTAATTTCACTTCGGTGAAATTAGTTGTTGGATTAATGTCTCCGTTTAGATGAGGCTTAGCTTGGTAATTGCCTTCCTGCGCTATGCCGCTCTAAGGACAGTCTTTTGGCGGTCATGTGGATCCCCTCCTGTACAATTTGTACCGGGCCAATCAGCGAAGAGGACGAAGTTGCGAAAGATGACGTCAATTTTCTGCGCTGTCTGCCTGAAGTCAGCAATGGCAGTGGAAAAAGTGAACGGAGCCATGCAGTACCTCCGTTCCACGCTTCCAAATTTTGAATCAACATTAACAGCCATCTTGTTCAGATTGGCATTTCTCTCTTGGCAGGAGTAGAGAATGGTTGTTAACAACGCAGGCAATTTCCGGTAAGCTGCATAGTGTCCAACTGGCGCTTTACATACCTCACAGACAAACATGAGCGATTGGGTAAAATTTAAAACTTCAACAGAGTCCATGCCTCCAGGAACTTCAAGAAGCAATTGTTTCTCTATAGCTGAGAGTCTAGACCCTCTGTATGAAGCAAAGTTTAGTAAAGGGGAATGAGTTAGGGTACATACACACATTGCTAATTGCATATAATTAGTTGAAAATAATATTTTAAACATTTTTCTTAATCCCAATAGAAAATACAAAATGGGCTAAAATCCCTATGTGCAAAATGAGTATAATTGATTATATGAGGTACTAGATCAAATTTAGTCCTGACACTCCCCTGCATCTCCTTGGAAAATCAAAAAAATGTTAAAAAAAAAAAAACCTGAAAAAAACTGCAAAATAAAAGTTTAATTTACTGCCAAAAAGGAAACACACCTAAGACACTAACATCAGTGTCAACAGCAATATCATGTACAACTATGTGGTGAACCTAGCCTGGCATCTGACAGATAACGTATTAGCACTTGTGCCGTTCTCAGTAAAACGTTGTAATTTATCAGTAAAACCTTGTTTCCCATTTCAAAAACAGTCTCTGGATCAGAGTTGTTTATAATGCACACAGTCTGCATCTTCACTGGCTGAGAATTAAACCTCATTTTGTCCTGTCTACACCAAAACACAAATCCTGCTCTCAGGTTAGAGCTAAATACTGGCCTTCATCCCACTGCAGCCGTTAGTCTGAGATTTTTTTTTTCTTTTTTTTTTTTTTCTGTAGCCTAAATTGGGCACTTGTTTTCCCCTTACACAGCTGTGCAGGAGCCGTTGAAACCACAAGATGGTAAAATGCCAAAATACAACCAGTTTTATGGTATGACAAATAAATAGAAATGTGTAGGATAGAAGCAAGTTTAAGCCTGTAATACACAAGCTTGTCTGAATAACTCGAGAAGTCTTTTTCATATATGAAAATGACGTTGTCTTAGGAAAACAGTGCAAGGCCATATGTAAAGCATGCAGCATCAGAGACCAGTTTATTTGTTTGCCTTCTCAGACTCATTCGTTTGAGCCAAATAAAGTTGCAACATGTCTGAAATTTGGACTTA